GACAGGGTCTCCCTGTAGCCCCAGCTGTCCCGGAACTCACTATGTAGACCAGGCTGGACTTGAACTCACAGAGACCCACCTGCCTCTGCCTCCCGAGTGCTGGGATTAAAGGCATGCGCCACCACGCCCGGCTAACAACAAACTTTTTTCATCACTTTAACACACTGAAAAACAGAAAAGCACAATCAAACAGAAAAAAAGGCCAGAGTTTCGTTTTATTTTACCTTTTTGAGACAGGGTCTCCCTGCAGCCCCAGCTGTCCTGGAACTCACTATATAGACCAGGCTGGCCTTGAACTCACAGAGATCTGCCTGCCTCTGCCTCCCAAGTGCTGGGACTAAAGGTGTGCGCCACCATGCCTGGCTTGTTTTGTTTTGTTTTGTTTTGTTTTGTTGAGACAGTTTCTCTCTGTAGCTCCAGCTGGCCTAGAACTCACTATGAAGATCAGGCTGGACCTGAACTCACAGAGATCTGCTGTGCTGATATGAAAGGCATGGATTTTTTTTTTAAATACTTTATATTTTTAGCTTTTGTGCATGAGTATATTTACTTGTATGTAGATAGGTGCACCCATGTCATGCAATGTCCAAGGAGGTCAGAGAGGGCATCAGATCCCCTGGAACTGGAGTTAGGATGGTTGTTAGCCCCCACGTAGGTGCTAGGAATCAAACCCAGATCCTCTGCAAGAACAGCCAGTGCTCTTAACCTCTGAGCCATCTCTCCATCTCCACCATCAACTTTTTTGTTGTTTTTTTGAGACAGGGTCTCCCTTCAACCCAGGCTGACCTGGAACTCACTGTGTAGACTAGGCTGGCCTCTATGTCACAGAGATCCAGAGATCCGCCTGCCTCTGCGTCCTGAGTGCAGATTGAAGACGTGCCAGCACGCCCAGCTCACCATCAATTAAGTGCAGATTGAAGACGTGCCAGCACTCCCAGCTCACCATCAATTAAGTGCAGATTGAAGACGTGCCAGCACGCCCAGCTCACCATCGATTAAGTGCAGATTGAAGACGTGCCAGCACGCCCAGCTCACCATCGATTAAGTGCAGATTGAAGACGTGCCAGCACGCCCAGCTCACCATCGATTAAGTGCAGATTGAAGACGTGCCAGCACGCCCAGCTCACCATCAATTAAGTGCTTTTTTTCAAATACATCTTTCATCTTCACTGAATCTGCATTTGTTTTCACCTCATATGTGACACTACAGGTTCCTCATGTGAAATTTTAAAAATGGGTTTGTCTCAAAAACAAAAACTCTTTAGAATATTATAGATCTTATAAAGTTATTGCTTAAATTTTATTTTATTTTCAGTATTTTTGTTGTGTTTTTGTTGCTTTAGTTTTTATGAGACAGGGTCTCATGTAGCCCAGACTAGCTTGGAACTCACTATATAGCTGGGAATGGCCTTTAACTCTCAACCCTCCATTTACCTCCTGAGTGCTGTGATTACAGGTGAGCGCCCCCACTCCCGGTTTATGTGGTGCTAGAGATCAACCTAGGGCTTTGAGCATGCTAGGCAAGCACTTTACCAAGTAAGCCATATGCCCTAACCCCTCCATCAGTCTCTGATCAAGTATTCAGAAAGCTCAAGGTACAAAGTTGAGTCCGAGTCTATGCACCAAGTTCTTCTGTGGATAATCTCATCTCAGTTAAATAATTTTAAATTAAATTTATTAATTTACATTACTCATAAAAACATTAAAATTGTACATATCATAAGATGTTGCAGTTCGGTCAAACTTTAAATAAGTTAAAAAGAAACAAGGTAAAACCCAGCAAAAATTCATTCAAGCCCCACATTTAAATTCTCTTTTTTCCTTAATAAAATAAGTACTGTCTGAGGATATAACTCAGTAGTAGAGGCCTTGCCTCATGTGCAAGGCCCTGTGTTCAATTCATACTACAAAAAAAAAACCCAAAACAACCCTCACACACATACATTGCTCCATTCTCTGAGTCCCCACTGTCCCCACTACCTCTAGGTCATTCAGTCTCTCTGGTGACCACCGAAAAATGATAGGTTTAATTTGAAAAGGTTTGACTGAGAGGAGAGCAGCCAGAGAAAGGCTTCTGGTACACGATTAAAAGCTAAACTTCCTACTTTGAGTTTTTGAATGCTGAGCGCCCCCAAGCCTTGGTCTTTGTCATCTTCTTCTGTTCCCACGACTGTCCTGCTCTGAGCTATGTTAGAGTCTTTGCTTAAATTTGTATTTCCTACTTTCTGCAAATATATAACTAATATAGAATATATTTTAATGAACAGATAGATGATATATAGCAAGAAAGAGTCAAGTCTGATGTTGATGATGTTAGTGTCTGGAGATAAAAATAAGTTAGGGAACAATGCAAATTCATGCTATCTGATGAAAACTGAATATATAAATCACTCAAAACAGCCGGACATAGTGGTGCAAACCTTTAATCCCAGCACTCGGGAGGCAGAGGCAGGTGGATCTATATGAGTTCAAGGCCAGCCTGGTCCACATAGTGAGTTCCTGGCCAGCTGGAGCTACAGGGAAACCCTGTCTCAAAAAAAAAAAAAAAAATCACTCAAAACTCAAGGGTAGTATACACGTTCAATAGGGAGACTTGTTTTGTTTTGATTTTGGTTTTTTTTATTATTTTTAAATTTTATATGAATGAGTGTATTGCTTGCATATATGTAAGTGCACCCATGTTGTGCAATGCCCATGGAGGTCAGAAGAAGGTGTCAGATTCCCCTGGAACTGGAGTTATGGACGGTTGTTAGCTGCCATGTGGGTGCTGGGAATCGAACCTGGGTCCTCTGCAAGAGCAGTCAGTGCTCTTAATTGTTGAGCCATCTCTCCAGCCTTGTTTTGTTTTTTGAGACAGGGTCTCCTGTGGTCCCAGATGGCCTGGAACTTACTATGTAGACTAGGCTGGCCTCAAACTCCCAGATAGTCTTCTGCCTCTACCTCCCAAGAATTGGTATTAAGGGTATACAATATCATATCTAGTCCTCCATAAGGAGACTTTCTCTCACAATAAAAATTATATATTGAGCCAGGCGCGCGCTAAATCCCAGCACTTGGGAGGCAGAGGCAGGCGGATCTCTGTGAGTTCAAGACCAGCCTGGTCTACCACAGTGAGTTCCAGGACAGCTGGGCTACAGGGAGACCATGTCTCAAAAAGACCAAAAAAAAAAAATTATATATTGCACAACATGACATTGGTGCACTAATATGCAGGCAATACACTCATACATATAAGATAAAAATATTAAATAAATAAATAAAAACTATATGACACATTGGCCAGGTGTGGTTGTGCACACCTTTAATCCCAGCACTTGGGAAGCAGAGGCAGGTGGAGCTCTCTGAGTTCAAGTCCAGCCTGGTCTACATAGTGAATTCCAGGCCAGCTGGGGCTACAGGGAGACCCTGTCTCAAAAAGACCAAAAAAAAAAAAAAATTATATGACACAAAGACATGGGACAAATCCACAAGACTCTTGACAAGCAGTTACTGCCAGTTCCACAACTTCTTGGCAGGAAGTTGTGCCTACAAGACTGTTCCTAAAGAAGTTTCCTGATTTGGAATCTGGAATCTGTTGTTAATTATTCTCTCACTAATCTGCCCAAGCTCATGCATTACCAGAAAAAGCCTATTAACTTTATTACCCTCTGCATTTGGTGGCAGGAAACCATACAGGTGAGATAAGGTGAGGGCCCTTGGTACCACTTTTCTGTTCCAGGTAAGCAAGAGAAATGTGCCGGGGAGGCAGAGGCAGGAGGATCTCTGTGAGTTCAAGACCAGTCCATTCTACAGAACGAATTTCAGGCCAGCCCGAGCCACATAGTGAGATTCTGTCTCAAAAAACTACAAAAGTGCTCCAAGAACCAATAACAATATTTACCTGGGCCTTCAAAATGGCTCAGGGGGTAAAAATGTTTGCCATTCAAGCCTGACATGAGGTTGATCCCAGGAACCCATGGCAGAAGGAGAGAACCAACTCCCAAAAGTTGTCCTCTGACTTCCACACGTTCCCCATGACTTGCCCACAACCCCCTACACACAGAAGCCCAATAAATAAATAAATATGTATTAAAAATAAGCTGGGGTGGTGTTGCATGGCTTTAGTCCTAGCACTTGGGAGGTAGAGGAAGGTAGAGCTCTGTGAGTTTGAGACCAACCTACATAGTGAGACCCTGGTTCAACTCCCCCCCCCAAAAAAAAGCAAGCTGCCTGGGTCTCACACCAGAGAGTCGACTGACTGTAACTAATTCAGGATGAAGATGGGCATAAAATTCTTTAAAGCTCCAGGTGTGACAGATTGGGATTCACGGCATCAAAGGTCCCAGTGAACACTTTGCCCAACACTTTATGTGATTTTTTTTCTTTTTTTTGAGACGCCTCAAACTCACTATATAGCCAAGGATGACCTTGAACTCCTGATTTCCTTTCCTCTGCCTCATGAATGTTGGGATTACAGGCATGCAGCACCCTGCCTAGTTTCTGTTAGGCAGGCATTCTACCAGATGAGCTACCTCCTTAGCCCAACAGGACTTATGTGAGATCATCAGTTGCTTACCATATTCTTGAAACAATTCTCAGACAATTTAGTCTCTACTAACTGCTCTGAATGGGTGAGTGAGGTATTTATTTAGTTTTGGTTTTGGGGTTTTTTTTGGTTTTTTTTTGGTCTTTTTGAGACAGGATCTCCCTGTAGCCCCAGCTGTCCTGGAACTCACTATGTAGACCAGGCTGGCCTTGAACTCACAAAGATCTGCCTGCCTCTGCCTCCCAAGTGCTGGAATTAAAGGTGTGTGCCACCACGCCCACCCGAGTTTCGATTTTTAAAAAAAAATTTTATTTTTTTGTGTGTTTCTGTGTGTGTCTGTATATGGACATATGGATATGAGTGGATGTGACCACAGAGGCCAGAGGCCTCAGATCCTTTTGGAGCTAGAGTTACAGGTGATTGTGAGCTGCCCATCATGGGTGCTGGGAATAGAACTCTGTACTCTACAAGAGAAGTACATACTCTTAACCACTGAGCCATCTTTCTAACTTCTATTTTTTTATTTTTTGAGATAGGTCTCATCATGTAGCCCAGGCTGACCTAGAATCTGCTACATATCCCAGACTCCTCTCAAACTCATGATCCTTCTGCCTTATCCTCCTGAGAACTGGGATTGCAAGCATGTGCCACCATGCCTGATGCTTCATCTTTTAGTCAGCTCCAGGGCCTCTCCATGTGAATCTTTGTATGTGTGTTGCACACCACAATACACTAGTGACAATCAGTAGAAGTTGGTTCTCTCCTTCCACCATGCCAGTCCCAAGGATCCAGCTCAGGTCCTCAGGCTTAGCAGCAAGTGCCCTTACCCACTGAGCATCTCACTGGCCACTAAAGAGAATTTCTAAGTGTCTGAGGTATAGTTAAGGCTAAAGCCAGACATGATGACACATCTTGTAATTCCAGCACTCAGGAGGCAGAGAGAGGTGGAGTCTGACGGTATCCTTGGCTACACAGGGAGCTTCAGGTCAGCCAAAGTTGTATAGCAAGAGCCTGTCTTGACCCCCATCCTGAAAACCCCTAAGATAGCCACCTAGAATAACCTGCCATGTATAGTCAGAGAACTCATGTAACTTGTCCTCAGTGTTTGGTGCTAATTAAGTAACAACATAACAGCTGAAAAGGAGCCCTAGCCTTTTAAAAAGTACATTTGAATATTTATTTTTGATTTGTGAGACAAGTCTCTTTATATAGCCCAGGCTAGTCTAGAACTTGCTATATAGCTCAGGCTGGCCTGAAACTCATGATCCTCCTGCCTTATCCCCTCTCAAGAACAAGGATTACAGGTCTGTACCACCATGGTAGGCTGCTTCCCCTTTTTATTGGCTGCAGTTCCTCTTTCTGTGAATCTTTGTTTTTCTGGACTCAATCTAGGCGTGAGCATTCTGACCATATGAGTTGGATATGACCTGAAGATATGAACACCATGATTCCATAACAGAGCACAAGTCAGAGCGGCAGACAACCAGGACAGTCTCACCTCTTTTAAAGAAACCATCGTTGGGGCTGGAGAGATGGGTCAGCGGTGAAGGGCACTGGCTGCTCTTGCAGAGGACCTGGGTTCAGGTCCCAACACCCACATGGGAGATAGTAATCATCCTTAACTCCAGTTCCAGGGGATCTGGTGCCCTCTTCTGGCCTCTAAGGGCATCAGGCATGCACCAAGTGTACATAAATACATGCAAGCAAAGCACTCATACACATAAATAAATAATTAAATATTAAAAAAGAAAAAGTCAGGCATAGTAGCTCATGCCTTTAATTCTAGCATTCAGAAGACAGGCAGGCAGATCTCTGTGAGTTCAAAACCAGCCTGGTCTACATAGAGAGTTCCAGGCCAACCAGGGCTACATAGACTCTGTCTGAAAAAAAAAGAAGCCATTGGCCCTACAGGAATTTCAGGCACTGTACTTGAGACTCAAAAACTTACGCCATTCAGGAGGCAGACAGCAGCTGGGTTCCCTCGGAATGCAGTCACTGTAAATGCATCTGCTATGAACATGGGGAGCTTCATCTTCCTTCCCGGCTGTTTCTGCCCTGGCTCCAAGTGCCTGGCGCCTGATTTACCTGTGTTGTTGCAAAAGACAGGGAGTTAATGTTTTACTTGGTGTGCAGATGCAGTTAACAGTTCCCAGATACAAAGTCAAGCAATTATTCCAACATGCCTACACCTAAAGATAGGCTATCCCCTACTTTTTAAAGCTTCCACACTGAATTTGTTTTAAATTCTAACTAAATGGAATCTTTTTTCCCTTCGGCGCTTCACACACAAAGAGAATCTACCACGTAATCACACTGTTTCTTAGAGCAGCTGAAACTAGTGTAGGTGACATTTTGAGTGACATGCAGAAAACTTCCCAGAGGCACACACACTCACAGGCTCCCTGTGATACGCTGTTCTTTCTAAAGAATGCACTTTTCGGCTGGACATGTGGTTCTCACCAGTAATTCCAGCACTTAGGAGAATCAGGATTAACACCACCATGGGCTACACAGTGAGTTCAGAGGCAGCATGGACTAAATAATGAGACTTCTCAAAAAACAGAACAAGGGGCTAGAGAGGTGACTCAGGAGTTAAGAGCACTGGCTGCTCTTACATTTACATACATGAAGGTAATACACTCATACACATAAAATAAAAATAATATTTTTAACAGAAGACCCAGGTTTGAATCCCAACAGCCACATGGCAGCTAACAACTGTCCATAACTCCAGTTCCAGGGGATCTGACAGCTTCTTGGGCATTGCATGACACGGGTGCACTTGCCTACATGCAGGTATAATAGTCATACACATAAAAAATGAAAATAATAAATAAAATTTTTTAAAATATTTTTTAAAAAGAACAAAACTTTTTTTTCTAATTATTAGGGGTTGGAGAGATGACTAGCAGTCAAGAGCACTGGCTGCTCTTGCAGAAGACCCGGGTTATGTTCCCAGGACACACATGGTGGCTAACAACCATCCTTAACTCCAGTTACAGGTTATCTGACCTCCTTGGACATTGCACAACACAAGTGCACTTACATACATGCAGGCAATATACTCACATAAAATAAAAAATATTAAAAAGTTCATATATATACAAATTTTGGAAAACTTCAAATATGGTGGCACAGGCCTTTAATCCCAGTACTGGGGAGGCAGAGACAGGTGGATCTCTCTTGAGTTCAAGGTCAGTTTGGTCTACAAAGCAAGTTCTGGGCCAACCACTGCTATAGAGTGAGAGATGCCTCTGCCTCCCCAGTGATATGTGCCTGGATTAGTGAATCAAAGCATTGTATTCATATTCTTATCCTTGTGGAAAGCAGTGAGAATTAAGAAGAAGGCTTGACATTATGCTTTAGGCCTAGGGATCAAAGGGCAAGATTCTCTGATAAGGGTAGATCCAAGCTTGTAGTTCCCCAACTGATTTAGGAGAAAAGGTTTTGAATAAAAGTATGGGTCCCTCAACAAAGCTGAAGTTTTCATGATGACCCTGGCCAGCTGGGCTAAGCAGCTGGTGGTGCAGGAGGAGTTGATCTTGAGGGAGTTGTTATACTTCTCCTGGTTCACACCCATCACACACAGGGCCATCAGCAGCAAGGGCAAAGATGATGACCCTTTTGTCTCCACCCTTCAAGTGGGCCCCAACCTTCTCCATGGTAGTGGAGACACCGTAGACTCCACAACATACTCAGCATCAACATCACCCCATTTGATGTTGGTGGGATCTCACTCCTGGAAGACAGAGATGGCTTTCCTAATGATGACAAGTTTCTCATTCTTAGCCTTGACTGTGCTGTGGAACTTTCCGTGCGTGGAATAATACGGGAACATGTAGACCACGTAGTTGAGAACAGTACCCACTTTGCCAGAGTTGAAGGCAGCCTTGGTGACCAGGCGCCAATGTGACCAAATCTGTTGATGCTGACCTTCACCACTGTCTCAGGGACTAGGCTGGCACTGCAAGAGAAGATGTGGCTGTCTCTGGAACAGGGAGGAACAGAGAGCTAATTCGTGGTTTTTTTAAGAGATGGAGGTGTCTCCCCATGCTGAACAAACTAGTCCCTGACTCCTGGGCTCAAATAAGCCCTCCACAGACTATAGATGTGTCACCATGCCCAGCTCTGGCTTTGATTTTTTAAATTTTTTTTATATTTTATTATTTTCATTTTATGTGCATGAGTGTATTGCCTGCATGTATGTGAGTGCACCCATGTCATGCATTGCCATGGA